TTTATAATATATATAGCACATCCTCTTTATCCATTCATCAGTTGATGGACATTTGGTCTCTCTCCACAGTTTGGCTATTGTTGATAATGCTGGTAAACATTGGGGTGCATGTACACCTTCAAATCTGTATTTTTGTATCCTTTGGGTAAATACCTAGTAAGAAATGGGCAGAAGACATGAATAGACACTTGTCTAAAGAAGACATCCAGATGGCTGACAGACACATGAAAAGATGCTCAACATCACTCATCATCAGGGAAATACAAATCAATACCACAATGAGATACCACCTCACATCTGTCAGAATGACTGAAATGAAGAACACAAAAAACAACAGGTATTGGCGAGGATGTGGAGAAAGGGAGAACTCTCTTCCACTGTTGATGGGAATACAAACTGTTGCAGCCATTCTGGAGAACAGTACGGAGTTTCCTCAAAAATCTGAAAATAGATCTACCCTATGATCAAACAATTACACTACTGGGTATTTACTCAAAGGCTACATTGACACATTTTAAATGTTGAGTCAGCCTTTTTTTTAAAAAATCTTATTTATTCATGAGAGACAGAGAGAGAGAAGAGAAAGAGAGAGACAGAGACACAGTCAGAGGGAGAAGCAGGCTCCCCACAAGGAGCCTGATGTGGGACTCGATCCCAGATCCCGGGATCAGGACCTGAGCCGAAGGCAGACGCTCAACCCCTGAGCCATCCTGGCGTCCCAATGTTGAGTCAGCCTTAAATTTGTGGAATAACTTCTACTTCATCATGGTTTATGGTTTCTTTTGTACAATGTTGGATGGTTTGCTAGAATTTTATGGATGATTTTTACGTGAGAGATTTTAAATGTTCATGAGAGATATTGGTCTGTAGTTTTCTCTTTTTGTATACTATCATTTCTTGATTTGTTAGTAGGGTAATGCTGGCCTCTTTTTAGAAGAGTATGAAGAATTGTATTGATTCTTATCTAAGTATTTGGTAGAATTCTCCAGTGAAACCACATGGGCCTGGATATTTCTTTTTTTGGGCAGGGGAGCTTTTTAATTACAAATTAAATTTCTATAATGCTTCCAGGACTATTCAGATTATCTTGGTTGAATTTCATAATTTGTGGTTTTCTAGGAGTTGGTACAATTCTGCTAAGTTACTGAATTTATGAGCATAAAGTTGTTCTTAGGATTTCCTTTTGACACTTTTAATGGCTGCAGGATCTGTGGTGATCTTCCATGTTTCATTCCTTATATTGGTGATTTGCGTTTTCTCTATTTTTTCTGTCTTGGTAGAAGTTAATCAATTTTACTGATTTTTTTTTCCTCCAAAGAATCAGCTTTTTGTTTCATTGATTTTTCTCTATAGTGTTCCTGTTTTCAATTTCATTGATAACCAGTCTTATTATTTCCTTCCTTCTGCTTGCTTTCAGTTCATTTTGCTTGTCTTCTATTTTCTTAAGGTAGGAACTTAGATTATTGATTTGAGACCTCTCCTTGTCTCTAATACTGTTCTCTTTTAAGGCCTTTTTGAAAATCAGCAGTTTTTAAACCTCAGTTGTCATCTTTGACCATAAATTTTACTAATGGTTCTTTTACTTTCCATTTTAAAGCTCTGTGTTAACAAACATATGCACATAGTTACCCCAAAGTCACCTCAAATTAAACTTGTGTAAAACTAAACACATTATCTTCACTCTCTTCTGAGCTTCCCAGATCAGTACAACTATTCTTTTTCTCAGCTACAGTTGCTATTATTTACTCAGGGACTTAAGGTAGACTATTTCTATTTCTTCAGTAAATGATGATGATGATACTTCTTAATAGCTCCTGATTCTTTTCTTTTCAGTAGATTCCTATCACTGCCTTATTTCAGGTCTTCTTTATCTCTTACCTTGGAAGTAGAGTATAATGCTTTTTAATACGGTCTCTGAGAAATATCAGCTCCCCTATCCACACCCCATTTCCCACCTACTAGAAACAATTACTTTGAATTATTTCAGCTGGTTTTTAAAAAATATTTCTATATCTCTAAATACCATGTATACTGTTACTTTTTGGTTTTTCCATTTTAGGCCTTCTGTACTGGCTTCTCCAAATGGGAAATAAGGATTTAATTCTTTTAGATCACCCTCATTTTGTGTGTGTGTGTGTGTGTGTGTGTGTACACGCAATACATAAGTATGTATGTATAATGTACTACTATACTGCTCCCTAATATATATACATATTACATACAGAGAAGTATATAAATACATGTGTGTAAGCACACTTTTCTGTCATCTTACCAAGATAGCCATGTCATCAATTACACATAGAACAATATTTATTGTTTGAGTTATGATTGCATAAATGTCACTCACAGTCCAGCTGTTAGCATATTATATTATGTCTTCTTTCTTTTTTAAAAAAGATTTATTTATTTTAGAGAGAGAGAGAGAGCAAAAGAGAGCAGGGAGAGGGGCAGAGAGAATCTCCAGCAGACTGCCCGCTGAGTATGGAGCCTGATGTGGGGCTCAATCCCAGGACCCTGAGATCATGACCTGAGCCAAGATCAAGAGCTAGACCCTTAACCAACTGAGCCACCCAGGCATCCCCTGTCTTATTTCTTTTACAAGTTTTTGTTTTCCTTTGAATTTTATTTCATCATTTGCTAAATTATCTACATTCTTACCAGTAGTTCATTCTCTGATTCCATGCTTTTTCTTTAAGTCTGTAAATTTTACCTTCTTGGATTCCTTCTCCCAGAGCCTTCTGATTTCTAATCTATTATCTGGCATTGTTGCTCTCTTGGTTTACTACTCAGCTAGGTTCTTCCCTCTAAAGCAATCTTGTATTCCATCTATTTCTTTTTTTGTTGACTCTCCTGTTTTGTGGCTCTTATACTTCCTGTTTTATGGCTTATTCCCTTGTTTTAATATAACATGTATTCCATCAGCTTCCTAAGAGAGTGCATGGGAAGTAAGTTTTTTGAGATGTTGCATGTCTGAAAAGGTCCTTTTTTATTCAAGGATAATAATATATAGTGTATTAATTCTAGGTGTACAATATAATGATTCCATAATTCTATACATTTCTAAGTGCTCATCAACATAAGTATCCCCTTTGTCTATTTCACCCATTCCCCTGGCAATCCACCTTCCTTCTGGCAACCACCTGTTTGTTCTCTGTAGTTGAGGTTAGTTTTTTGTTTGTCTCTTGTTTTGTTTCTTAAATCCCACATATTGAGTGAAATCATACAGGATTTGTCTTCTCTGACTGACTGATTTCACTTAGCATATACTCTCTAGGATCATCCATGTTGTCACAGATGGCAAGATTTCATTCTTTTTTATGGCTGAGTAATATTCCATAGTATATATACACCATATTTTCTTTATCCATTCATCTATCAATGGATACTAGGGTTGTTTCCACAACTGATTGGCTATTGTAAACAATGCTACAATAAACATAATGATGCATGTATCCTTTCAAATTACTGTTTTTATTTTTTTTGAGAATAGGTCTTTATTCTACCCTCACAATTGATTGATATAATTGGCTATCAAAATCTAGCTTGAAAATAACAATAATAATTTTTCTTTTAAACATTTGACAGATTTGAGGTCCCATCCTTCTCATGTTTTTTTTTTTTCTGTATGGAAGTTTTGGGGATCTTCCCCACAATGCTGAAATTTCAGATGATGTGCCTCTGTGTAGGTTTGTTTAATTCATCCATTGAGAGGGTATTCACTGAGCTTTTCCAATCAAGAAACTAGTTTCTATCAGTTTGGGGGAATTTTCTGGAATTAGGTTTCTGTTGTATTTTTGTTAAACTTTCTCAAATAAGTACTCAGCTTTTTATTCTAGTCTTTATATTGATCTTTGCATCTGTCATAATTTTTAGTTTGTAAGAGCTTTTTCTATTGTTTTATGATTTGTGTATATGTGTTTTAAATAGCATCCATTTCTTATTTCATGGATTCAGTATCCTCTCTCTGACATTATTAATGATTTTTTAAAATATTTTATTTTTCCTGGGATGCCTGGGTGGCTCAGTTGGTGAAGCATCTGCCTTTGGCTTGAGTCATGGTCTCAGGGTCCTGGGATTGAGTCCCACGTTGGGCTCCCTGCTCGGTGGGGAGTTTGCTTCTCTTTCTCCCTCTGCCACTCCCCGCTGCTCATGCTTGCACACACACAACACACACTCTCTCTCTCTCTCAAATAAATAAATAAAATCTTTGAAAAATGTTTTATTCTTCCTGGATTGTTTCTTCCAGCTTTGTGTATCTTTCTGTTTTGTTTAGGTCAGTTACTTATTTATTTATAACGTTGGGGCTTTTCTAATTGGCTGAAGAAAATTAAGGTATATTGTTTCATGTTTTTAGTTTTTCTCTTGTAAAGTTTGTTTTTAAATCTTTCACACCAGCTATTGCCTATTGATGAAGTAAGCACTAATGAACACTAAAACAAATGACCAACTGCACATTAATAGAAAAAAACTAGATTATCATGCTTATTTTGACAGCTTATTTTTACTACAGAATGTTGCTGTTTTTATATGGTAAAATTAGTGGTATTTTGTGTTGCTCTGCCCCTGAGCAGATTGAGGACCACCAAGTTAAGTTAAATCATTAGAAAGGGACAGAAATGTGAATATACTATGTGTACTAATTTGCATATAGACAGCAAAGACCTCTACCGAAATCTATACCCTCAATTTAATGACCACCTTGTATAGCATTTTTAAGCTATAATGAGTAAAAAGCAGTTCTCACTTCTCTTCAACAAAACATAAATGTCAAGTAGACAGTTATTTACCAGAAAACTAGAGAGAGCAAATCAAGAACAGTTTTGTCCACTGTGTTCATAGTTTCTAAACAGATAGATGATTTTTCCTGCATATTCTAATACTTCAAGCTATTAAATAAAATTGGTGTTTTATAAATCTTGTGTTGAAATCCAAATGTAAGTTATTATGTTCCTGGGACATTTTGACCTCAGATTAATGATGCATGGTTTTTCCTCCTGTAGGCATGCTGCAAAGGAAAGTAGAAGAGGTAACACAGGTTTTCGAGGATCATCGTCGCACGGAGCAGGAAAACCATATCAGAATTGCCTTTGATTGAATGACCATATCTTCAGCATCTTGTTCTGGGATTATACATTACCTAAAAATTGTGATGATGTGAAATAGAGTAGTATTCACAATTATTACTTAATTTTGGTTGCAATAGAGTGTACATGTGGTTGGTTTGGGTTTTTTTCATTTATATATTGTGCTGTTGAGAATTATACTGTAGTTTGGCTCTTAATATTAGCAAATCAGAACTATATTAGCCCTCTTGTCTCTAGGCAGCAACCTAATAGATGTTGACTCTGTGTGTGTAATTTGTATCTTAAACTCTCCTAGATTCCATATTCTACCAGCAGCACACATTGTCCTTCTTGCTCTGACCAGATCATCAAGAAATGTTGGCCAAGAAACAGATGCCAACCAGTCTTTACTGAGTGCCTGTTAACTTTCAACATATAGTGCAAGATACTGTGGTCTTTTTCCTCAAAAGAACTTACTGTCTAGTTTGGGATATAGTTAGTGCCTGTCTGTATGATAACAATATAGAAAAAACAAAGGAATGTGTTATAAATTACAGAAAGTATTCTATAGAAATTTGGAGAAGAAGAAATGTTAGGGTGGATTTCAGTCTTGAATTAGGTTATTTTTAAAAGGGTAAGGTTCAGGCAATTCATTTATTTTTGATGTATAAATAACCTACTATTTTATTTGGTTTTAGCCTATGATTTAGTCGTTGGTTTTGTGTATTTTGTTTTTTCAAGAAAAAGCCTTGTTCTTAGCTTGGGAACAGTCTGATCTCTTGTGTTGCATGTTTTACCTAAGTCATAAATAAAGGTGATATTCTAAAAAATAAAAGTGTAACATGAAAGCAAACTTCCTTAAAAGTATTTGAGTGACTAGATCTTAGTTGCCTATAAATACTGAGCTAAATTTCTGTAATACTGACTGTACATGACTATCCTGAGGGGTAATACTACAGGAAGGAAATATTTTTGAAATGAGTATCAGTGATTTTTACCACCTTATAGGTAAACATCGGAACTTACGTGGCCTTTCCATTCCTACCCATACTTCTCAAAGTAACAGGTTTATCAGGTAAGCTTTTGTTACCACTCAAAACTTTAGAATATGAAAATAATCCAGAAACCATTTAATTTTGTGGATGATTTCTACAGGTAAAGAGCTTTTTTTTTTAATTTTTTATTTATTTATTTATGATAGTCACAGAGAAAGAGAGAGAGAGAGAGAGAGAGAGAGAGAGAGAGAGGCAGAGACACAGGCAGAGGGAGAAGCAGGCTCCATGCACTGGGAGCCTGATATGGGATTCGATCCGGGGTCTCCAGGATCGCGCCCTGGGCCAAAGGCAGGCGCCAAACCGCTGCGCCACCCAGGGATCCCCAGTAAAGAGCTTTTGACTAAGATTTTGAGCCATCTCTAATTTTTGAGCCCAGTGTTGTTTCTGTTACACCCTAGATAAAGACATTTTCCGTATTGTTTTTGTAGATTTAATTCTTATAAAGTAGTTGGTTTATGAATTAAGTTCTACATTCAGTACAATGTACATAGTATATTAGAGGAAACACTGGATTTAGTCTTGTCCCTACTTAATTAATTGGACGAATAATTTCATTTTGAGCATTATCTTTTATCTATCCCATGAAAGTGTTTAACCATATTAATAAGGGTTTCCCAAGTAAAATAAACTAGTTTTCATTTCTCTGAAGTTTTGTGATTCCTTTATGTCCTTTCACTAATGGTATGTGTTTACTCTAAAGTTCCTCAGTAAAACAAGAGGCTAAAGCACTCCTATTGAATTTTCACTGGGAGTTCGAGGGTTTTTTCCCAGGACATAGAAGAAGCCAGTGGATGGAGAATGGCTTCCAGATCAATACAGTTAACAATGTAAAATTTATTGGCAGATCTCTGTACTGTCTGGAATCTGGAGCCTGGGACTAATTCATCTCTAAGTTTGCTTCTGACTCTGGGTCTAATCGGTGTCTAAAAGACATGACATTGTTGAACAAATATTAATTAAAAGATTACAAATAACCCATTTTCAGGCAACATTTTTGTTAGGTACTGGAGTCTTGAGCCTCTCCTAACCATTGTTAAAGATCAGCTAAAATATTAGCTGGAAGGAAGAGTTCTTAAATCTGCCGTGTTCTTAAATTTGACACTTTTTCAGTGCTTATCTACTTTTCTTTGTCCTTTGAAAAAGATGCTATATTTATTTTCTCTATAACAGCTTTTATGCTATCTCATTTGGGGAATTTGAAAGACACGCACAGTTGATTACTCTTAATATTGGATGAGTGATGCCATCCCTCTTCTAGAGAAGATTTTTGGTTTTAGCATCTTCTTCCAAATCTGGAAATTATAATTGCTTCATAATGTATTCATCAGAAGTGTTCTGTGAACAAAACATCTAAAAAGGACAAACACTGAAAATATGTCTATGTTAAGGAAGAACTTCTGGCGTAATTAAACGAACCTTATTAAATTGTCAGAAAGACAAATGAGGCATATTTTTCAGTTTGTCATAAATTCTTCTGGGGCGAAATTACCTCATGGTAAGATCTCTGAGCCCCCATGAATAACATCTAGAACTCTCAAATCTTTTTATAAACTGTCTCAAATCTTTTATTAGACACTGTGTCCCTTTTAAAGCAGGGAAAAGCATACTGTGGGAAATGGAATAGCTATTATTCCACAGTTAATAAGTTTGGCAAAGCCAGAAATAGCCTGTTTTTCCTTCTAGTGCAATTTTCTGAATGTTTGTCCCTTGGTACCTACCACTAGGACTGGCTACAGTTATACACAGGTAAAGAGAGAACTTCCTTGTGACCTTGTTTTTGAGTGGCAATTCAACCCTACTTGTCTTTCTAGCCATTTATTCTCCACTTATCCCACCTAGTGGATTCATAATGTAGTGAGTATCACTTCTGTACCAATAGGATGTATGTATTATTAGAAGTTGTATACATTTCTGGTATGATGGTCAATGTTCCACCCTTTGGCACTTTCCCAGGGGGCAAACTCACCAGCAACTTCGGCAAATTTTTCTATCTATGTATTGATCGATGTATCAATTGGACAGTTTGGTTGAGCAGCAGAATCCAGCCCTACCACCATATAGTATTTACCTGGGACAGACTTTGGTATGACCTACACTTAGTCCATGCTTAACATTCTGTCTATGCTCTGTGCCACAGCCACAAAATAGTGCATGTTATATCAGCATTCATTCACCCGCGTACCTCAAGGTCTTCCAGTAGCTGTTCTTTGGTCTTATCCTCTAACTTAAGCATGGAAGTACAGAAAGTTTGAATAAGTCCTACCGGATAATAATATTCATTCATAGATGACCACCTATCAAATGACTTTAAAACCATATTTTTATAGAGCACTTTATAGTCATCCTATTTCAAGGTAATATCCCAATTTTACAGATGAGGAAACTGGCCTAGGCCAGTTAAAGAAACTTATTGACATTCACATAGACTTGTAACTTGCCAAAACAAAAATTGAAGTCCGTACTACTTACTATGTTGTATTGTCTCTAACTCTGGGAACTGAGAAATCCACACAGTGTGCCCCCCACCACCACCACCGCCAAACACACGATCTTTTTCTTTTTTGATTCTTTGTGGTATAGGAAGGGTTCTCTTTAATAAAAAAAATTATTATTGACTAGGTAACCTAATCATGTGGTTCAAAATTCAAAAGGTACAAAAAGTGAAGATTCCCCCCACTCTTGCTAAACATCCAGCTCCCCTACATGGAAGCATTCACTTCTCACTGGTTTATACATGTTTTTCCAGAGATATTTGATGCATGCACAAGCAAATACATAGGTATACCCCCTCCTTTTACTCAAATGGAAGCATACTGTAGATACTGTTCTCTATCTTGCTATTGTACTAAATATAGTTTATATTGTTCAGTAGCAATCCATAGAAAACTTTGTCATCTTTGAGACTGCTGCATAGTTTTCCATTGAATGGACTTACTACATTTGTGGGTATTTAAGTCATGTATATGCACACATACATACATACACATACTTGAGGATACATAGTATTAAGGATACTATTCACAGAGATTGAATTTCTGCTCTAAAAGGAATGAGTATTTATGGTTTTAATTGTATCCTCACATTACCTTTCATGGAGATGGTACCAATTTATGTTCCTACGAGCAGTGTAATTAGAGTGCTTATTTTGCCACAATCTCAATAAAAATAATGTGTCCTCAAACTTATATATCTTTACTGATCTTGTAGGTGAAAATGTTATTTTAGTGTACTTTTTAAAAATAAACTTTTTTTAGAACAGTTTTAGATATACAGAAAAGTTGAACAGCACTGAGTTCTGTATATCTCCACTCCAGTAACCTTTAGTGTTAACATCTTACATAGCTCGTATATTTGTCACATCTAACGAATCTTATTATTAACTAAAGTGCATAGTTCATTTATATTTTTTGTTTTTACCTAGGGCCCTTTTTCTGTTCCAGAGTCCCAAGAAGGATACCACATTACATTTAGTCATTATGTCTGTTGGTTCCTTTGGCTGACAGATTCTCAGACTTTCCACATTTTTGATGACCTGGACAGTTTTGAGGAGTACAAGTCATGTATTTTATAGTCAGTGTACTTCAAAATTTCCATCACACTTATGAGATTAGACATCTTTCCTTTCATATACTTAGGGACATTTATACTTCCATCTCTGAGAACTCAGAGCCCATGCTCTTAACCACTATGCTATACCTCTCTCTTGATTCAATGTAATTACGAACAAAAACATTCATACAGACTTCTGAATCTCAGGATAAGAAATACAATGCTTCATAAGCTTCTATTACAGATAGAGGAGAACCGTTAATGCAGGTTATGTGGTCAAACTTGTGTCTGATCACTCGCTACACTGTAGAGGATGGATCAGGAGCCCAGTGGGAAACAGCAGCCTGGAAAAAAAGTCCTTGAAAATAGAAGCGGGGTTGATAGGCATATGTTGGATGAAAAGAGGAGCCAGGATTCGGCGATATTGGATGACACAGTCAAGTCTCAGGTGACCCCTAGCTTTATGAGCTGGATATATTGAGTGTTGCCATTAACCCGCAGGTGAAATATTTGAACAAATTAAAAACATACCCGTTACTCTGTAGGTACTCTCTTTCCGGTTTTTAAGCTGGGCGCGACTACAATTCCCAGAGCCCCGCACTCCACCATAATCCCCTTAGAGTCAGCCGCGCAGAGTTCTGGGACTTGAAGTCCGCGGCCTTTTCACCCAAGTTAGAGATAGGGGCCTGTGGAAACATGAAGAGGTAAGGGCTTGTCTGAGAGCAGGCGGCGAAGGGAGCTCTCTTCTACCTTTTAACTTTGAAAATGACTTTTATGACTTTGTGTTTGGGCTATGTCACGTCTCGGAATGCGTATTCGTGTGAGCGGGAAGACAAAGGAGGAGGGAGGAGGGGAGACGGGCTAGACAGGCCTACGGGGCGAAGTTCAGGAAGGGCCGCCGCCGCTGGTTCCCATAGGAATGCCTTGCCTGCACCGGCATCTAGGCCACGGCGCCGGCTCCAGGAGCTGCACCGAGGCCTTGGCTTCTTACAGCTTCAGACGGACTCACCCAGGTAAAAGGGTTTTGGCCGACTAATGCCCAGCGCGAGGGACACCAGGCCAGCTCCTCCTCGTCCCGCCCTACCTCCACCTCATCCTCCGAAAGGGGCACAGGGTGGGCGCCTTTCTTTTTCTTCTTCAGTATTTGTGTGCTAAGGAAAGCTTCCTCGGGCCCCGAGAGCAGGTAGAGCTTTCAGATCTTAACCTAAGCTACTGATAGTTTGTTTCTAAAAATTTAGAAGGTACGAAACCGGCTGTACGTATCATAGGAAAAGAAAAGCACTGCTGTAAGCAGTTCCCCCTACTGGTTCTGCAGGAAATGGCAGCTTTAACTTGGCCGGTCTTTGTAGAAAGCCTGAGCTTCTAAGTTGTTGACAGTACACAATAGCTTTTTAAAGGATCCTCATTAAATTAGTTTTGGATTCCCTGCAAAGTAGACTAATCACTCCGGAAGAGGGCGGTGCGTTTCAGGTTCTGATGTTATGCTCTCCTGTACAGTCAGTTTCTGCATTTTTTGAAAAACCGTTTCTGATTTTCCCTGCCTCAAAATGACTTTTAAAGGGATCCCTGGGTGGCGCAGCGGTTTGGCGCCTGCCTTTGGCCCAGGGCGCGATCCTGGAGACCGGGATCGAATCCCACGTCGGGCTTCCGGTGCATGGAGCCTGCTTCTCCCTCTGCCTGTGTCTCTACCTCTCTCTCTCTGTGACTATCATAAATAAATAAAAAAAAAGAAAAAATGACTTTTAAAAAAATGCTCATTATTATATATTTCAAAATAATGTATATATACAGTTTAAAGATAAGAATAAACTCATACCCACTACAGGCTTTAGAAATAGAACATTAGCAGTGTTGTAGAAGTCCCCTGTGTGCCCTTCCCTGATTGCTTCTCCTCCCTCCTTTATCCCTGAAGGGACCATGGTCCAGAATTTGGTGTTAATCATTCCCTTGCTTTTTTTTTTAAAATAGTTTCACCACAGATGAATTTATCCCTAAGCAAAATGTCGCTCGTTTTAGCCATTTTTGAACTCTATATGAATGGACACATATTGTATGACTTTTTCTTTCACTTGCCTTTTTGTTTCACTCAACTTTTCTTTTTGAAATTAGTGTGTACTGATGTAGTTAGCTATGGTTTTTCACTTCAAAGCTACATTAAACTTAGCAAGAACGTTCAGAATTTTATTTTTTTAATATTTTTAAAGATTCTGTTCATTCATTCATTCATAGAGAGAGAGAGAGGCAGAGACATGAGCAGAGGGAGAAGCAGGCTCCCCACGGGGAGCTGGATGCGGGACTCAATCCCAGGACCCCAGGATCATGACCTGAGCCGAAGGCAGAGATTCAACTGCTGAGCCACCCAGGCATCCCAAGAACGTTCAGAATTTTAAATAATAAATACACACTAAGATACTTAAAAGGAAGTTTTGAAAAACGCTGGGCCTAAGGATATTTTAAAATCTAAAATAGATCTCAGTCTTTCTAGAGCATGAGAATCTTGCTTATAATTATGAGAGATATATCATAACCCAAATATCAAAGGATTATCATATAAAGAAGGTATTTCATATTTATTTTTCTCATGGAATTAATTAATTTTGTTCTTGTCTATTATCACCTATTGTTGCATGCTCTACGGGTCCTGCTATTTACACTCTAAGAGTTTTCAGTTATTTAGGGTTGGCCAGCTAATAGCATTCCTAGATTTCTACAGAGTAGTGCCTTTGCTATAAAGTGTTATGACCCCTTTGTGTTTCCTTCTATACTCTCTTCTTTGAGTATCTCCTCCTCTTTCACAGCTCCAGATCCTGCCAATACAGATGACTCGATATTTTCATGTTCAGCTTCAGACTCTCATCTATACAATTCTCCCATCTCTCGCTTTCCTATTAGCCAATATCACTTATTCTGTCACCTCAGACTCAATATGTCTTTGAAGTATTCCTGCTACTTCAAGCTAGTGTTTCAGTTGTAAAAGGTAGTTGTAAATAGCCACTCAACATGGCTAAGACAATACTGAATTTCCCATTCCTAAATCATTTATTCCATCTGGATCTTTGTCTTTCCTTCATTGGTACTATTGTTCTCATAGTCACACAGCTTAAAATTTAAGGCTTATCTTTGATTTCTTCCTTACCCCTACCTACAAAAGGCCTCACTCATCTAACTCTTCCTTTCTGTTTCCACTGGTACCACTCCAGTTTGAATTTTCATTGCATTATTCTCAATAAATTTAAAGAGTTTCCCAACTTGTGCTTCTGGTTTCTTTCCTGTGAATCCACAAACCATTTTATAACCACATCCATTTTCCTAAATCATCATTTCTACTATGTCACTTAACTGCCTAATAAGTTGCTTTTCTAATACCTATACATGAAGGCCCAGGCCCCTTAGTTGAAGTATTTAAGTCCATTCATAATCTTTGTCTAATTACCCCCTCCAAGATTATCTCATAGTGCTCTCCTATGTGAATGCCAACTAAAGTGAGCTTATTATCCCCAGAACATATTTCTGTCTCTTCATACTCATTCTCCCCGTTCTTTTCCTTCATCATACCTAGTCCTTCAAATGCCAGTGTAGTAATTACCTTTCCAAAGTCTTCATTTACCACTCTAGCTCTCAATTATCTCTTTCTTCTCTCTCTCCCTCTCTCCCCTTCCCTCCCCGCCCCCCAGAGGCACACAACACAACACCACATACACACATACCCTAAATAAATTGCAAGCTTCTTGAGGACTATGTCTTGAATGTCTTTGACTCCATCAGTACCTAGCACAGTGCTTTATGTGTAAGTATTTAGTAAATGTTTGTGGGTTGAATGATAAAGAGCAACAAATAGAAAAGTGTCTTCAAACAAATGGAGTCACTACTGGTAGATAATATAAAGAGTATGTTTTGAGATTGACTGACTCTTCTACTTTCTGTATATATTCTTATATCTGCTCCAGGGTAAACAGCTGTGTGAAGAGTGGTGAGCATGTCCTGGAGGAGTTGGAAACAGAAGGGGAGAGGCAGCTGAAAAGCCTCCTTCAGCATCAACTTGATACCTCTGTCTCCATTGAGGAGTAGGTATTGATTTTGCAAACAGGTAGAATATCATAGACCCTCACCTCCAGGTGGCCAACCCCTCGTCTCGTAAAGCCTGGATGGAACACTACTCTCCCACTCCCCTTTCCTTGGCCCACTAATACTTATTTTTTAAAAAAAAATTTTTAAAATGTATTTATTTATGATAGTCACAGAGAGAGAGAGGCAGAGACACAGGCAGAGGGAGAAGCAGGCTCCATGCACTGGGAGCCCGACGTGGGATTCGATCCTGGGTCTCCAAGATCGCGCCCTGGGCCAAAGGCAGGCGCCAAACCGCTGCGCCACCCAGGGATCCCCCACTTCTACTTATTAAGCAACATTTTGCTTCTGTGTCTCTTCCTCTGAGAAGTCTCCTATATCCCACCAGGTCTGGGCTAAGTACCTTTCTTATGTCTTCCCTTAACATATGTAGCACTTGTAACCCAATATGACCGTTGTCTTGTTTACTTGCTTCTCTTCCACTCTTCTTCCACGCAAGCAGAAACCATTTTTATCTTCTTTAATGTTAAATCCTCAGTACCCAGCACAGTATCTGGTGCATAGTAGATATTCAGTAAATAAATATTTGATTCAGTCCTTTATTGGCCCTGGGTGAGGGGACTATTGATGGAGTTCCATGTCATTGCAGAGGTGCTTCAGCCTAGAAATTGATCATGAGAGAGAAATTGCCAGTGAGTTTCACTGTGCCTCTTTTAATGGTGAGCCTCCCATTTCTGTAAATTTTGTAACCTGAAGATATTCTTACTTTCTTCCTGCTTGTTTTGCAGATGTGTGTCTAAGAAAGAGAGCTTTGCTCCTGGTACTATGTACAAGCCCTTTGGGAAGGAAGCAGCTGGGACTATGACTTTGTCCCAATTCCAGACACTGCATCAGAAGGACCAGGAAACTGCTTCTCTTAGGGAACTAGGGCTCAATGAAACAGAAATCTTGATCTGGAAGAGCCACGTTTCAGGTGAAAAGGTGAGTGAGGCCATTTTTTTTCCTGAAGAATAAAGAATGAGATCGCTTCCTTTGACACTGAGAACCTTTTTGTTTTTCATTCTTAAAAAATTGAGCTTTGGTATCTGAATCTTCTTTGGTTTCTGTGATAGGGACCTTGGTCAAGAGACACTCTTCCTTGACTTTTTAGCTAACACATCTATGAATGGTCTCTTCGGGCCTTTCATCATCTTTTTTCTTGTCTGAGGCATTAGATCATCACTTTCAGGGTGTGTCCTCTATGATCCATGTTCCCCATTTCTTTGGTTTCAGAGGACAAGACTGAGGGCAACCCCAGAAGCAATACAGAACCGTCTTCAAGATATTGAAGAAAGGATCTCAGAGCGTCAGCGCATCCTTTGCCTGCCACAGAGATTTGCCAAGAGCAAGCAGTTGACCCGACGAGAAATGGAAATAGAAAAGTCTTTATTTCAGGGAGCTGATAGGCACTCCTTCCTCAAGGCTCTTTATTACCAAGGTATGTAATCACCACTGACTCTGATGTGCTCTTCACTGTGAGAGAGCAATTTAACAGCAAGGCATTAAATAATGAAGAGTTAGTAAAGGGAGTAGGGGAAAGACAAACAATCACTCTCCTTGAGGAATGTATATAGCCCCATGACAGAGACGAATACATACACAACAGTTGTGATGCCACATGGAAATCACTGTTACAGAGATATGAATACAATGCTAGGGGAGCACAGAACATAGAACATCTGAGTTGAGTTGGGGGGAGTCAGGAGTTGACATTTGTACTAAGTCTTGCCAGAGCAACAGTCGTTTGTCAGGTAAATAAGGGGGAGAGGGCATTACAGATGGTAGGTGAACAGGAACAGGTTTGTGAAAGGACCTGGTGCATGTAGGGAATGATGAGAAGTTCGTTGTGACAGGAAGTATAGGGCACAGCACGGGGAGGAAAGGGGGTATCATTGGAGAGGAAGGTGAAGCAGGATTATGGAGGGTCTTTGGGCTGAACTGTAATTGAGCAAAAAGTATATAGATAAGTGGTATGTATCTTAACCAGAAAGTGTCAGTTTAACAGATAAGTTTGGCTAGGCACTGAGGGAGGTGCACAGAAGTTTAAGAAATCATTCTGGACTTGGTAGCAATTACAGTCTGGTTGGAGACAGAACCAGGTAACACTTAGTAACAAGGCTAGATATAGTTGTCAAGTGCTGTAGGAGTTCCAAGGAGGGAAAGGCCACTGTGCGTTGGCATGACTAAAGTAGGTCTTTCAGAGGAGTAAGATTTCAATGTTCTTTTAATACTTCCTATTCTATAGTAAGGAGAAGGGAAAGGCAGTTCATTTGCAGCAGATGGCATGGTTGGGGCTGTTGTGAAAGACAAGATTAGAAAGATAGCTAAAAATCTTGAACTCGATTTGGCGGGTAGTATAGACCTCTATAGAGTTAGTTATTCAGCTAATTATTTTCGATATGGTGAGAGGATTTTGAGCCAGGAGTAACCTGATAAAAGCAGTATTTGAAAATGATTAATCTGGGGGTCAATAAATAGGATGAGAGAGAGAAAAGAACTGGAAACAGGGAGAATGATGTAGGAAGCATATTACAGTCATATAGGGACCAAGATCTAGACTAGAATGATGGTAGTGGTATCAGAAAGAGAGGTAGGTATGGTTATAAGACACCTCACAAAGTTAAACTTATTGCCTGAGAACGAAAGAGGAAGATCAAAGGAGAGGTCAAAGGCAACCTAGGTGTTTCATGTCTGTGTGACTTTAACGATTGGCAAAGTTAAGAGTCTTTATGGGGAAATTCTGACGAAAGATGATGAGTTTGATTTTAAACATGTTGGATTGGTGAGCATGGCAGGATCATTAAATGCACATATCGAGGAGGCAGTTGGAAATGCAGCAGTGAAGCTCAGGGAAGAGGTCAGAGTTGGATATGTAGAATTGGGAATCATGTACACTCAAGTGATAGGTAAAGCCGTAAGTATGAATGAATGCTTTGTTAGAGACGGAGAGACCACAGACATGGAAGAGCAGTGTTGAAGGAAGGAATGAAAGAACAAGTGAGCAGCCTCTTGTGGAGAGACCTAGCATGCTGATTAAGAACATGGGCTCTAGAGGCAGACTGCTGGAAAAATCCTGGCTCCCCCTCTTAACTAGCTTGTTAGGAGATGTTGGGCAAGTTACCGCCTTACACTTCAGTTTTTTCACTTTGTAAAATGAGAATATTAGTAGTACCTATATTATAGGGTTGTTAGGAGGATTAAGTGAGGTAATACATGTAAACCACTTAGAGCAGTACCTGGTATTTGGGGTGGGTGGGTGGTGTATGAATCTTTTCTGTTTCCTATCTTTGAAACTCCTTGCTTTAAACCTTCACAGCATACCACAAAAAGACAAGTGCAGACACGTACATGACCTCAATGAAGAGGAAGATAAAATTAGGCACAAAAGGCAAGTCGAGAGTTTTCTTACAGTGTTAGATTTAGGAATGTAACATAGGGTCCCAGACTTCTGAGTCGAGTACTTATTTAATTCCATATTCAGTATATGACAATGTGTATAGGAAATGATCCTGAGGAAGCAATTTATCCTGATAAAGAATGTTAAAGAGAGGAGTTAGTACTAAGTTGTAAAACTTTTACATTTAGTGTTGTTGATTTTTTTTCTCTTTATGTTACTGTACCAGACATAAAATGACCTTAATGAATTTTGGATCCTATTTCACAACTAATTCTGAATATTTTTATTAATCACTAAAATATAACTGTTGATGATGATGATGATATAGCAGTATTTTATTTTAAAAATGAATTTACAATACAATTGCCTGTTTTTCTTTTTTTGGTGTACAATTTTACAAATTGTAAATCATATAAATCATGTAGATTCATGTGACTTCCACCACAATCAGGATAGAGAATACCTTCATCACCCTAAAAATCCCCCATACCATCCATTGACAGTCACCCCCAACTTTACTCATAATCTGGCAATCCCTGAACTGTTCTCCATCACTGTAGTTTTGTCTTTTAAAGAAAGTCATAAAGACAGAATCGTACACTGTGTCATTTTTTTGAGAGTGATTTCTTTCATTTAGTGTAATGCCTTTGAGAGTCATCTAAGTTGTATGTATCGATAATTCATTCATTTTGCTGAATAGCATTCCATTGTATGGAATATTCCAAAGTTTGTTTATCCATCAACCCATTGAAGTGCATTTGGGTTGTTTCCAGGTTATGATGACTATGAATAATACTGATATGAACATTTTTGTACAAGTTTTTGTGTGAACATAAATTTTTATTTCTCTAAGGTAAATATCTAGAAGTGGGATTACTGGGTCATATGGTAAGTGTTTAACTTTATAAGAAACTGCCAAAGCATTTTCCAGAGTGGCTGAACCATTTTGCATCCCCACCAGCAATGTATGAGAGTTCCAGTTGCTCTACATTTTTGTCAGTATTTGGTACTGTTGGTATTTATTTTAGTTCTTCTGATAGTTGTGAAGTGGTATCTCATTGTAGTTTTAATTTGCTTTTCCTTAATAGCTAATGATGTTGAATATCTTTTCATGTGCTTATTTGCCATCCTTATATCCTGTTTACTGAAGTGTCTGTTCAAATCTTTTGCTGTTTTTTAATTGGGTTGTTTATTTTCTTTATGATACTTGAGAGTTCTTTATATATTTTAAATGCAATTCTATATTGGATATATGATTCATAAATATTTTATCCCAGTCTGTAGCTTATCTTTTCATTCTCTTAACAGTGTCCTTTGTAGAGAAAACTTTTTTTTATTGTTGCAAAATATACCTAACATAAAATTGACCATTTTAACCATGTTTTCAGTGTACAATTCTTTGGCATCAAGTATATTACCATTGTTCTGCAACCATCATCACTATCCATCTCCAGAACTTTTTCGTCTTCCCAAACTGAAACTCTGCACCATTTCCCATTATACTCCTCTTTGTTCCTGGCAACCACCATTCCTCTGTCTCTGAATTTGACTGTTCTAGATGCCTCATATAAGTGGAATCAAACAGTATTTATCCTTCTGTGTCTGGCTTATTTCACTTAGCATAATGTCTTCTAGGTCATCTATGTGACAGAATTTCCTTCCTTCTTAAGGCTGAATAATATTCCATTCCAATAATATTCCAATACAGTCCATATATCTACCACATTTTGTTTATCCCTTCATCTGTCTGTAGACACTTGTGTTGCTTCTACTTTTTGGCTGTTGTAAATAATGCTATGAAACTGGATGTACAAGTGTCTGTTCAAGTCCTTGCTTTTAGTTTTTCTGAGTATATATCTGGAAGTGGAATTGCAGGATCGTATGGTAATTCTGTGTTTAATCTTTTGAGGAACCACCATACTGTTTTCCATAGAGGCTGTATCATTTTACATTCCCACAAGCCATGAAGAAGGATTCCAATTTCCCCACATCCTTGTTGACACTTAATTTCTTCTTTTTTGTGATAGCCATCCTAAGAGGTGTGAAGTGGTACTTCATTTTGGTTTTGATTTCATTTCCCTAATGACTATTGATATTGTGCATCTTTTTCATGTGCTTTTTGGCCATTTGTGTATCTTCTCTGGAGAAATGGCAATTTAAGTCCTTTGCCCATTATTTAAATTGTTTATTTACTTATCATTTAGTTGTAGGATTTTTTTGTATATTTTAAATATTGATTCCCTTATCAGATAAATAATTTGCAAGTATTTACCTTCATTTCATGAATTGCCTTCTCACTCTGTTGATAGTATCCTTTGATGCACAAAAGTTTATATTTTTGACAAAGTCTAGTTTGTCAGTTTTTCTTTTGTTAACTGTGCTTTTGGTTCATTGCCAAATCTAATGTCATAAAGGTTTTCTCCTATGTTATCTTCTAAGTGTGTTATAGTTTTAGCTCTTATATTTAGGTCTTTGGTCCATATTGAGTTATTTTTTTTGTATATGTTATAAGGTAAGGATCCAACTTTATTTTGTGCATGTTGATATCCTGTTTTCCCAATATTACTTCTTGAAAAGACTGTCCTTTACCTATTTATTGTTCTTAGCACTCTCTCCAAAACTCATTTGACCATAAATACAAGACTCTGTTCCTAGACTTTCCATTCTATTCTGTTGGTATATATGTCTGTCTTTATGCCATTGCCACACTGTTTTAATTACTGTAGATTTGTAGTAAGTTTTGAAATCAGGAAGTGTGAAACCTCCAACTTTGTTCTTCCTTTTCAAGATTTTCACTATTTAGGAACCCTTGAGATACTATATGAATTTTAAGGTGGATTTTTCTATTTCTGGAAAAAACGTCATTGGGATTTTGAGAGGGATTACACTGAATACACTAGATCACTTTGGGCAGCATTGACATCTTAACAATATAGTAAGTCTTCAGTTCATGAACCTGGGATGTCTTTGCATTTATTTGTATCTTTAATTCTTTCAGAAACATTTTGTAGTTTTTAGTATACCAGTTTTTTTGCCTCAAAGCAAATGTTTTAAATTTTGACACAATACAGTTGTCTGGTTGTCAGGGTTTTCTTTCATGGATTATGCTTTCTTTTTTCCATGTCTAAGGACTCTTTGACAGCAGATCATGGATAAGATTTTTTCTTTAAACATTTTTATAGTTGTATAATTTATGTTTATATGATATTTTGACTTGGTACTTATATGAAGTGTGGATTTTAGGTTAAGGTTCACTTTTTTGCCTACGAATTTCCAATTGTTCAGCACCATATGTTGAAGAGAGTATTTTTTTCTCCATTTTATTGCCTTTGCATTTTTATCAGAAATAAATTGGCATATGTTTGTGTTAATAATTAACTTCATAATAAATGGTGAAAAATTGAAGTATTTCCCCTAGTATCAGCAATAAGACAAAGATGTGCACTCTTGCCACTTCCATTCACAGCTGAATGAAATTAGAAATCAGTAGTAGAAGGACATTTAGAAAGTATACAAATATGCAGAAATTAAACAGCATTCTACTGAATAACCAACGAATCAAAAAGGAGTCACAAGGGACTTTAGAAAATACTTTGAGATGAATGAAAACAAATCTTAACATACCAAAACTTAGGTAATGCAGTAAAACAGTATTCAGGGGGATATTTATAGTTATAAATGCCCATATTAATATAGAAGGTCTGAAATTAATAACCAAAACATTTCACTTTAAGAACTACAATTTTTTTTAAACTACAAAAATTGGTCCAAATCCTTAGAATGTGTGATACCAAGAATGAGCTGTAATGTAAACTATAAACTTTAGGTAATCATAATGGGTTGATGTAGATTCATTAGTTGTAACATGTGTACCACTCTGATGGAGGATATTGATAATGGGGTAGGCTGTACATGTGTAGGGATGGGGTTATGTGGGAAATCTGTACCTTCCCTCATTTCTGCTATGAATCTATAACTGCTCTAAACACATAAAGTCTTAATAAAAAAAAGAATCTACAAAAAGAAAAGCAACCTAAACCCACATCAAACTGAAGGAAGAAAATAATAAAGATTAGAGCAAAAATAATTAAATAGAAAATTAAGGAAATATAGAAAATCAGCAAAACCAAAAGTCCTTCAGAAAGATCAACAAAATTCATAATCCTTTAGCTAGACTTACCAAGGAAATAAGAAAAAGGAAATTTTTCTTATAACCTGCCCTACTTTGATTCTTGTTTGCATGGAACATCTTTTTCCATCCTTTTACTTTCAACTTTTTAAAAAATCTAAATTGTATTTCTTGTAGACAGCAAATAGGTTGTGTTTTCCTTTTTTACTTTTCTGAAGATTTTATTTATTTATTTGACAGAGAGCAAGTAAGCACAAGCAGGGGGAGGGACAGAGGAGAAGAAGGAGAAGCAGGATCCCTGGGGCTTGATTCCAGGATCCTGAGATCATTCCCCGAGCTGAAGGTAGATACTTAGCTGACTGATCCACCCAGCCACCCCGTGTTTTCCTTTTTAAATCCACTCTTCCAATTGAATGCTTATTAGTTCATTTATATTTAATATATGTAATTGGAGTCTTTTGATAAGATAGGATTTGGTCTGCCGTTTTGCTATTTGTTTCTGAATGTCTTGTATCTTTTTTGTTCCTGTTACTCCATTTATTCCTTCATATTAAATAGGTTTTTCCAATATATAATTTTAATCAACTTGTTGTTTCTTTTATTACTTTTTAGTTGCTTTCTTAATAGTTGTCCAGGATATTCTAATTAACAGCTTAAACAAACTAGCTTGTATTAATACTGACTTCATTTCAAAAATACTCAAAAACTTAGTCCTGTTTATCTGTTTTCTCCTTCCTCCTTTGTACTACTACTGTCATGCAAATTACATCTTTATATATATTTTAAGCTCATCAGTATAGTTTTATAATTATTGCATTATGTAATTATCTCTTAAGTCAGGACACGAAAAAGAGTTACAAAG